ATAAATGAAAAGGAAATTAAAATACAAATGATCTATTTCATACAGGGAAGGCAATTATTGAGGAATAGAGAAAACAGAAAATAAGACATAAGACATTTAGGAAAAATGGCAAATCAAAGTCACTTTTACCTTAATAATCATATTAAATGTAAATGGGTAAAACACTCAATCAAAAGACAGAACGGTGGAAGGGATTAGAAAAAGAAAAAAGTGATCCAAATAAAGACAGTCTACAAGAAACCTTCAGATTCTACAACGTACATACGTTGGCAAGACGTACACTCTGAAAACAGTAATCAGAAGAAGCCTGCGCACTCAAGGGAAGCAAGGGCAAAAATGCACTATTGGGATTTCATCAAGATAAAAAGCTTTTACACAGCGAAGGAAACAGTCCACAAAACCAAAAGACAACCGACAGAATGGGAGAAGATATTTGCAAATGACATGTCAGATAAAGGGCTAGTATCCAAAATCTATAAAGAACTTCTCAAACTCCACACCCAAAGAACAAATAATCCAATCAAGAAATGGGCAGAAGATGTGAACAGACATTTTTCCAAAGAAAACATCCAAATGGCCAACAGACACATGAAAAAGTGTTCAACATCACTCGGCATCAGGGAAATCCAAATCAAAACCTCAATGAGATACCACCTCACACCAGTCAGAATGGCTAAAATTAACAAGTCAGGAAACGACAGATGTTGGCGGGGATGCGGAGAAAGGGGAACCCTCCTACGCTGTTGGTGGGAATGCAAGCTGGTGCAGCCACTCTGGAAAACAGCATGGAGGTTCTTCAAAAAGTTGAAAATAGAGCTACCCTATGATCCAGCAATTGCACTACTGGGTATTTACCCCAAAGATACAAATGTAGGGATCCGAAGGGGTACGTGCACCCCGATGTTTATATCAGCAATGTCCACAATAGCCAAACTGTGGAAAGAGCCAAGATGTTCCTCAACAGATGAATGGATAAAGAAGATGTGGTATATATATATACACAATGGAATATTATGCAGCCATCAGAAAAATCGAAATCTTGCCATTTGCAACAACCTGGATGGAACTAGAGGGTATTATGCTGAGCGAAATAAGTCAATCAGAGAAAGACAAGTATCATATGATCTCACTGATGTGAGGAATTCTTAATCTCAGGAAACAAACTGAGGGTTGCTGGAGTGGTGGGGGGTGGGAGGGATGGGGTGGCTGGGTGATAGACATTGGGGAGGGTATGTGCTACGGTGAGCGCTGTGAATTGTGCAAGACTGATGAATCACAGATCTGTACCTCTGAAACAAATAATGCAATATATGTTTTAAAAAGAAGAAGATAGTAGGAGGGGAAGAATGAAGGCGGGTAAATCGCAGGGGGAGACGAACCGTGAGAGACGATGGACTCTGAGAAACAAACTGAGGGTTCTAGAGGGGAGGGGGGTGGGGGGATGGGTTAGCCTGATGATGGGTGTTAAAGAGGGCACGTTCTGCGTGGAGCACTGGGTGTTATATGCAAACAATGAATCATGGAACACTACATCAAAAACTAATGATGTGGGTGCCTGGGTGGCTCAGTTGGTTAAGCGACTGCCTTCGGCTCAGGTCATGATCCTGGAGTCCTGGGATCGAGTCCCACATTGGGCTCCCGGCTCAGCGGGGAGGCTGCTTCTCCCTCTGACCTTCTCCCCTCTCATACTGTTTCTCTCTCTCAAATAAATAAATAAAATCTTTAAAAAAAACCTAATGATGTAATGTATGGTGATTAACATAACATAATAAAATTAAATTAAAAAAATAAAAGAAGAGGCCTGCACTGGTGAGACTAATTGACAGACAGCACAGACATTAAGGCAGTTATCACTAGGTATAATGGAGGATATTTTTTTAAGATTTTATTTATTTATTTATTGAGAGAGTGCGAAAGGGGGGAGGGGCAGAGGGAGAGAGAGAATCTCAAGCAGACTCCATGCCGAGCTCGGAGACCACCGCGGGACTCAATCCCCTGACCCTGAGATCACGGCCTGAGCCGAAATCAAGAGTTGGACGCTTAACCAACTGAGCCACCAGGCGCCCTGGTGGGGGGCGTTTTATAATTAAGAAGGACCGAGTCATGAACAGGATATAAACGTTATAAACCACAGTGCGAGTTAGTACACTTCACAGACGGCATGGCTGCCATCATGCGTGGTGGAGCTTGGGGAGCACTATGCTTGTTGTCCCCCAGTTGGGACGTCCCTGAAAGGGATGAGCATGGAGGGGAACAAGCAGTCGGGTCAGCACCAGATGCCATGGCCAATAACTGGCCCATCTTCCCATTTTACAGACTTAGGGGCAGAGAACTGAATTCTGCAAATGTCTGGCCTCACAGATACCTCAAAATATGACACAAGATCACATATGTCTCTACACACACTAAGCCACGGTACAGGCTCCCAGAGACACTCCTTGTCCCCTCAGAGATCTCTGATAGCGAACAGGCACCTGTTTCACTTCTCAGATACACAAGGCTGGGCTCCTGAATGAGGTGCTCAATGGGACTTTCACCACCCCGACCAGCCTCGGGCCGCAGGCCTCATAGAGTGCCGTGACGAGTCCCTCAAAGAAGCTCAATTTAAATGAAATGAAAGGAGGTATATTTCAGTCAGAGTCAGTCGGATATCAGGTGTGAGTTGTGATTAAGAGTCCGATTTCATTTTCTGACTTTTGCTGATGGCTTTAAGCCTCACCCTTCTCCTCCCTTTCTGCCCCACATCAAGCTGATAGGAAAGCCTGGGTGCTCTCTCCTTTGGCGCTGGAGGGCAGTTCAATCCCTGCGTGGCAAATCATGCCTTGGGCCCCGTCCCTAAGACACCATAAAAACCTCGAGCAGCCTCCTTGCTCTGTTCTCTCAAGCCATTTTATGGACCTGCTGGGGATCACTTTGCTCTCCCCATAATGCATCACTGTGTGAGAAACACACCTCGTCTCAGCCTCTTGGCGGATGTGTAGCCTCATCACGTTCAACATTTGCATCAAAAGTTTTGGGTTAGGGTGGGGGAACATTCTCATCCTGTTGGGTGGTCTCACAACAAGTACAAACCAACTAGACTTGACAGAAGATCACACATTCTTCTTATGGGCACATGACATATTCTTCAGGTGGGACACGTGTTAGGCCATAAAACGATTCTCAATAAATGCAAACAGGTTAAAATAGTACAAAGTATATGATCTGACCACAATAAAATACAATTAGAATTCTGTAACAGAATGAAAACAGAGGAATTCCCTGCATAACCAGAAAACCAAAGGATAAATCACAAGATAGACAAAAAGCGGTTTGAGATGAGTGAAAACAAAACCCAAAGGTATGAACAGTTTAGGAGGCAGGGTGAACAGTTCTTGGAGGGATCTCCTCCAGGCAGAGACTCTTACACAAAGAGGAGAGAGATGTCAAATCAATACAAGGCCTTTCACTGTAAGAAACCAGGAAAAACAAGGAGCAAACTAAAATGGAAGCAGGAGGAAGGAAATGATAAAGTTTAGAGCAGGCATAAAGAAAATCGACCAAACTAAAAGTGGATTCTTTGAAAACACCAACAAAATTGACAAAACTTCAGTTAGATGGACTAAGAAGAAAAAAGACTCAGATTTCTAAAGTCAGACATGAAAGTGGGGACACTACAACCAATTTCCAGAAATAACAGAATTATAGGAATGCTGTGGACAGCTGTACACCAACAAGTCAGGTAATCCAGATGAAACACACAAAGCCTGACAGACACACAATCTACAGACTGACTCGAGGGGACACAGAGGGTGTAACTACAGGAAAAAGGCAAACGACCCGGTTCAGAATGGCCAAGGGTTGGGATAGACATTTCTCCAGGGGAAATGTTCAAGTGCCAGAAAGCACACGAGAAGATGCTGAGCTTCCTGTCACGTGGTAACACAAGCAAACATCACCGTGAGACGCCACTTTTCACTAGAGTGAGTGTGTGAGTTTCCTTGTCTTTGACTTTCGATAGTTTGACTATGATGTATCTACATGTGCATCTCTTGGACAGTTTGACTATGATCTGTCTACGTGCGCATCTCTTTGGGGTCATTCTTTGAATTTGTGGAACTTCTCGGACATGTGGATTAGTGGGGATTTTTTTCATCAAATTTGGTAAGCTTTTGGCCATTCTTTCTTCAAATGCTCGTTCTGTGCTTTCTCTCACCTCTGCCCTGGGGCCCCTCGCACCCATGTGGTACCGTTGATGGCATCCCACAAGCCTCTGAGGACCGATTCATCTGTCTTCTGCAGGCAGGATAATCCCAATTACTGACCTGCATGCTCGCTCGCTGACTCTCTTCTGATGGGTCAGTTATGTTCTCAACCCCACAGCTAATTTCTCATTTCACTAGCACACTTTCCAACTTCAGAATCTCTACTTGGCTCTTTGAAAAATGTTTTCTTTCTTCATAGGCTCCTTTTAGTAAAACACTATTCTCATATTTCCTTTTAACTTGTTAGACGTGATTCTTTGGGGGTTCCTTAATCATATTTTACTTTATTTATTTATTTAATTTTTAAAGATTTTATTAATTTATTTGACAGAGAGATAGAGAGAGAGCACAAGTAGGCAGAGTGGCAGGCAGAGGCAGAGGGAGAAGCAGGCTCTCCGCTGAACAGGGAGCCCCACGCAGGGCTCGATCCTAGGACCCTGAGATCGTGACCTGAGCCGAAGGCAGCCACTCAACCGACTGAGTCGCCCAGGCGCCCCTCTTGATCATATTTTAGATCTTCATCTAGTGTGTCTGACCCCTCAAAGACAGCTTCTGCTGAATGCGTCCCTCTTCATGTGGGCTGTGTATTTGTGATTCTTTGTCTCAAAATTTTAATTTGAAAACTGGACAGTTTCAGTTACGTGATCTGGCAGCGCTGGAAATCAGGCCCTCGGCCCACCAGGCTTTGTTGCCCACTCTTGTTGCCGTTGCTATTTGTTTAGGGATGTTCCCGCACTAGTTCTGTGAGGCACGTAGTTTCCATTCCGTTACTTTTATGGTGAGCTCATGCGTGCACAGAGATTAAGTACCTGGAGCCAATAAGTCACCCAGTCTTTGCCAGGGGGCTTTGGGGGCGGGGAGACACATCTTCAAGTCTCCAGTAATTTGCGTGCCTGGCCTGGTTTTCACTTCCTGCTCATGCAGGGCTTCAAGGTCACCCTGAGGGGAGAGATTGGTAAAATATATATCTAGTCAGAAATATTTTGTTAATATATTTATGGACATTAAAAATGTATAATCCTTATGGAAAAGGATATCCTGAGAGAGACACTAAGCTAATATGTGAAAATATTAAATAAATGAATGGAAATGACTCATGGGTGACTGAGTAGAGTGTAAACCCAAGGCTCCAACAGGAAATACCTCCCTCACCTCCCTCCGTGCCTGCCCTGAGGTTGAGCCCTGTGCTCGGCGGGTCCTGAGTGACCACTGTGGCCCGGTCACCACCTGGCCACCCCGCACAGGAGGTCCGTGCGTGGGGTCACACTCTGTATCTTGCACAGTGACACAGCCACCTCTTTGGCAGGAAGGAAGCTCAGCTGCTGGAACAGCTAGGTCTTGGGCAGTCCCTGGAGCTGCGGCTCCAGAAGGTGGCACAGCATTTTGTGACCCCAGAATCACATAATTCACCTACCCACTGCAACCCCTTCCCTGGGGACTGACAGAACCAATACCAGCGGGAACCACTGGTTCTGATGGAGTCCTGAGACAGGAAGGTGGTGGAGAGGGGTCTGTGAGGCTTTCTGCAATCTGGGCCAGTTTCCACCTGTTTCACTTGGGACTGATGAAAAATTAATCATTGTGACAAATATCGGTCACCTCAGGCAAGTGAACCCTTTTGGAAATATCTGAGATGCTCACAGGGAGCAGTATCCACCAGACAGAAAACACTCTTGATTTCCTGGACAAGGTCCATGACTCCTAGAGAACCCTGCCTATAGCATGGACATTCTCACCAGATTCTGAAATTTAACCTGAAGATGAAGGCACCAGGTATAAAGCAAGGAAGGGTCGGGGAAGCCTCAGCCTCGGTCTCAGAATCTGAGGAGAGGAGGCATGACCCTCTCCAGGGTGGCCCTCCCTTCACTGAGCCCAGGAGCCTGGAGCTCCAGGTCAGTGAAGCTGTCAGACCACAAAGAAATGCCTCTGATAAACTCTGGGGGCATGCCAGCATGAGCTGGCCCACTCCCCAGGCAAACCGGTGATAATTATATAAAATAACCATGTAAAGACTCTGGAAATGGCCCCAAAGACAAACAGCAGGTGAAGAAACATCTATTCAAGAACATCTATGAAAATTTAGAAAGAAAGGTCAGAGCTTGTGCCATAGGAACCAAGATTACACCCTCCCTCCCCTTCGCCCTCCCCACCAGGTCCTCACGGTGCAGACCCCTCTCCAGACTGAAGTAGGCCAGACACAGAGCTCTCTCTCTCCCTGAGCCCTCAGCACTCAGCCGGAGGGCTTTATCCTGGGAGGAGCAGGACTTCATCATTTCTCATCCTGCCCGGCCGCCTCTTGCTGAGTCCCAGGTGAGTGAAGTCCGGAGACTGGGGCTCCCTCCTGCCCAGCTCCCAGTCGTGGAACAGAGGCTCTGCCTGGGGCTTGAAGCACTGAGCACATGGGGACCCTCACTGTCCTTGCTTTGGGTCATGAGATGGAGGCTGTCCACGCTCGGAGAAGCAAGCGGCTTTCCCCTCCACTGAGTGCTCAGCTCCGAGAGGGGAGGAGAAGTCCCTCAGAGAGGTTCCCACCCGCAGCTCCAGAGAACTTGCTCAGAGGTTTTGCTGGGGGAAGAGAAGCAGGCCATAAAACAGTCTCCAATCTCTTCCCAAAAAACTGGCCTCATCTGCAATAGAGCATGACGTTCAAGCCCAAGGTCACTCTCAGAAACAGCGCAGGCCTCGGTGAAGGGCAGTTTGGAGGACAGGCAGGGTCACAGCGAAGATACAGTCCGAGCTGTAAGTCAGCTCATTTGCAGAAGTGAACCAGGGAATAAAGAGTCTGAGTGCGCCGTCCTCACATCAGAGAAAATATCGAACACTGACATCAGAAAATACTCCTTCAAAGGAGCCAGGATTTGACTGGATTCATGTACAGAGCAATTTATACAACAGGGCAGGGTTGAAACACTAGAGTGATCAGTGAACAGTCAGGGGAGTCAGCTGGTTGTGGTCAGGACAACCCCGCCCAACACCGTTCCTCCCTGAGCTGGGGGTGGGGGTGGGGGGAATAAAACCAGGCAGTAAATACTAAACAAGCAAATAGCAACTACGAGCCCTGGAAAGGTGGAACCAGTACCCAGGATTGCTATAACATGTTGTCTAAACTGTACGGTTTCCAATGAAACTTATGAGCAAGCAAAGAAAATATGGCCCGTACTCTAGAGAGAAAGCAGTCAACAGGAAGTACAGGTGAGAGAGAATCAGATGTTGTCTTTAACAGGAAAAGACTCAAAACAGCCTTGTAAATACGGTTCAGAGAGCTAAAGGAAAGCATGCTCAAAGAAGTGAAGGAAGCTGCAAGGCAATGTTATACAAACCAGAGGACATCAATAAAAAGATAGAAATTATTTTTTTTAAAGATTTTATTTATTTATTTGAGAGAGAGAGAGAGAGAGAATGAGAGATAGAAAGCACGAGAGGGAAGAGGGTCAGAGGGAGAAGCAGACTCCCTGCTGAGCAGGGAGCCCGATGTGGGACTCGATCCCGGGACTCCAGAATCATGACCTGAGCCGAAGGCAGTCGCTTAACCAACTGAGCCACCCAGGTGCCCAAAGATAGAAATTATTCTTATAAACATGGAAAATCCGTCGAAGGAAGGGGTAGTCCCTGAAATTTAACAATTCAGCACAAAAGGTCTGGTCTCCAGCCCTGCACCTGAAGAGCCTGGAGGTTGTCACTCCCGGCTCCTCAACAGGAGAGTGGATGCAGAAACCGCAAATCAAGGACTCATCTTGGCTCCGTCAAGAAGGCAGACACTGTAGCAGCGGCTCCCAAACTGGCGGGGTGGGTGAGAAGAGGGGCTTGCTTGCCAGGAACCCCCACAGGTATTGACTCCCTCGGGGAGACTTCGGGAGACCAAGTCCAGGGATAAAACTCCTGCAGCTCAAGGGGGCCCCAGCGCGTTCTCAGAGTGAAGAACAGAGAAAAACCCCCTTATGCTTCTGGCAGGGAAGGCGCCGCAAACATTCTGAATTATGCCCAGAGCATTCTGTCCGGCTTAGCAAAGACATGGCCTCAGGAAGAGCCTAGCCAGTGTGGGGAAGGGAGATACCCAGTCCAGCCCCGTCGGCCTTCCTGTCCACCCTAAGCAGGGAAAGAAAGGTCGCAGGCGGGGGTAGTCTCCTGAGAGACTGAGACCCAAGCAGCGGGTGACAGAATGCACCCCCCACAGCAGGCCCACACGCACAGAGCTCTGTCCACATCAGAACCCTGGTGCCTGCAGCTGTGACACAGAAGGGGCCACGCAGCCTGTAGGGAAAAGACCAGGGCCGCTCTTCAGAGAATGAAACAGAAAATCCACTCGCAGGTACCGAATGGGTGACATACACATTACTGACAGTGGCCAAGTAGTGGAAACAGTTCAGATGTCCAGCAAGTTATTACTGGATGAAAAATGTCCTATATCCATACGACAGAGTATTATTTGCCCATAAAAAGGAAAGAAGTATGGATAGACGTTAAGACAATATTAAGCTTCAAAACATTATTCCAAGTGAAAGAAACCCCTCACAGGGGACCGCGTATTACGGAATTCCATACATATGAAACTCCAGATGAGGGAAATCCAGAGAGATGCCAACAGATAAAGCGAATGCCAGGCGCTGGGGGCCCGGGAAATTGGGAATGAGTGAACAATCCAGATGGGACTTATTGTGTTATAAAAATGATCTGCAATTAAATATTAGTTATGGTTGTTGCACATCAAGAATGTACAAAAAGCCACGAAATGATACACTGTAAAATGGATAAAACAGCAAATTTTTGTTATGCATGCTACATGGATTAAAAAACCAAGTTCTATAAAATAAGAGTTACATAAATCATAGTAAAAGGAAGTAAAGATTAGCAGCACCCAGCCCTACGTCCCGCCCTGCTCTAGTGGAACCTGACACTCAGTGGTTGGCCCACCTAGAGTCAGCCAATTCACCCAATTACAAAACACCAGGAAAGAGAAACTTCTGAGAGGCCAAACATACCCTAGAGGGGCCCCTGAGCAATATCCCAGTGTCCAACCCACCTACGAAGTCTCTGCATCAGGAAGCCACTTCCCAACCCTTCTTCACCGGGGACGCACCTGCTCCTTCCGAAGATGGAGATGCTCAAGGAGAACAAGGTGGACATCCTGGGGCACCCCCAGAGCTCGGCTCCCGTGACGACCACTGTGGTCAACATCCGTAG